AGGTGGATGCAGTCTTCAGTCATATGGTCGTGGCTCTTATGGAACCGACAATATTTAGACTTATCATTGTTGGGTTTCGGCGGTATTTGCTTTGGAAACCGGACTCCTGCCTGCCAGAATTTTGAGTTGGCATACTCAGTAAGGATCTTTTCCCTTGAAACTGTCAGGGGAGTGTACTCGTGGAACCGTCCAGAGGGCCCCTTGTTGTCCCGGGATTCACAGGGACGGTCTTCTCATCTTTTATCTCCCCGACAGGATATCGAGGACTCGTCGGACCTGGAAGGTAAGGCATTCTCCATGTGTCCGAAATCACGGGCAGAGCTAGCAGCCTCTTTTTCTTCGTACTAGATGTACGCTTGTTCTGAGGAGAGATCTAGTCGCGTTTGCAGATGGTCAGGGTCTCTGGATCTAGAGGTGTCGGACGGTTCCTCTCGCGTCGGAGAGGAGGACTCTGTCGTTGCTGACGTTGTTTCCTCGGTGGAGGGGATCTTGGATGACTGGACTCTTCTAACGCTCAAATCCTTGTGTTTTGGTCGAGGATTAGGAGGTTATTTTTATTGAGAACCTCGAGGAGGACCTCCATGGTCGGGTCAGCGTTAGGCGGAATTGGAACTGGCAGGTGTTGCAGAATAAGTGGGGTTTCGCCGTGATCTGTATGAACAGAGGATGGGGAAGTTATGGCTCCGTTCCTTTGTCAGAGGATGTCGTCGCCACGAGAGGTGGTGGCCCCATCAGCATCAGTCTTGCTGACAGGGAGAAAAGCAAAGTTACAAGCATCAAGATTGTTGTCACGGGCGGCCATGATCAGAAATTTGAAAAATTGTTTTGGTTTTGTGTTCTACGAAGAGAGAAAAGACGGAGATAACAAATTCCTGTAGATGGCACCACTGATATTACCGGTTGATCAGAACCTGAGATGAGCCAAAGATAAGCATCTGTGTTGTTGGGTGTGAAAGAGAATGAGGGGGTGTACCTGCAAGGCACTCTGATGCTAAAGTAAGAAAACGAGCAAGAGGGATAGCAAGTACATAATATATGTGTTTCATGGTGAATATTGGATACATGACCCTCTCAAGTGAGAGGGTTTATATAATGCCCCCACTGCTTGACCATTGGTCCCTATTTTCGGGGCGAGATAACCGTTTTCTGAAGAATAGGTAACTTTCAGAACTAGCCGTTGAGACGGGCCCATAACTAGTCTGGCACAGGCAGAAGCGTTTTGGCTATTTTTGGATGGTGGAACCGTGCGTGAAGGGTAGAGACTGACGGGGGGGGGGGGGGGGGGGTGTTGTGATCAAGGGTAAATTGGTCAGCCTCCCCTGTTGGAGGGGCATAAAGGTAAATTCTCCTTTCAAAGTGGTTGGACTTAGGCAATTGGGTCGTTCTGGGAGCAGAAGTGGATTGGGTCATGCCTAGCCATTGGGTCAGTCCGGAACATCTTTGTTTTATTAGTTTTGTTTTAAAACTTATGTGAGTTTATTCGTTCTTTTCGCATTCCTTTGGAAAATATAAATAGCGATGGTGACTCTTGGTATGTGAGTTAAGTTAATCAATAGCTTAATATTCATTTTTCACCGCTACAGCAAGAGCCAGAAGGATCTACCAAGTATTGCAACAAGATCAAAAGGAAGGATAATACAAGGTCGTGGAGATCAATGTAGCTGATTTCATCAATCAATTAAGGAACATGAACATTTGCCCACCCACGCATAGAATAGATCACAGTAGCCAAATTAGCAAGAATGGTTGACTCAATAAACTACAAAAGCAGCGAGAATAACTGGTGGAAGGCCCACCTAGTTATGTTTACAATTTCATTATGTTATTATTTCTTTGTATAATTAATTATGTTATTGTGATGTACTACGATATTTTCATTTTAATGCTAAAAAAAATCCTTTTGAAATCTCTTTTCTATGTGACCATGAAAGGTAATGACGAGTCTGGGGTACAACCAAAGAGATCAAGTCCCCATCACAAAGACTCAGGGGTGTTGTCATAAATTCCACAGGTGTATGACTAAAGCAATCAAAACCCCATAATGAAAAGAATACGCACTAAGAAAGTGGCAAAACCATCCCCTCTTAGAATCTAGTCACTCCAAAGGTCGCGATGGATCTTCCGAACATCAACCTCAGAACAATTTTTCACCTGGGTGGGGGAAATGGGTATCGAACCTTGGTTGGGCACGGCCACAGAGACGTCAAACGAGACTCTGAGCAAAAACTCCGTAAGTTAAAGCAAAGCCTGAAGCAATTAACTTGAGATCTATAACATACACCTTAATCAAGTAAAAACCATTGTTTCAAGTTCATATACTCACATTCCCAATACAGTGGATTATGTTTACATAAAAAAAAAGTGATGAAGAGCATGGCTAATCTTTGAGCAAAATAACTTTCCTGTCTCTAATTATCTGACTCGGTCGAAATTGCTCCCTCGAAATGTGCAAAGAAGAGTAAAATGATCCACTACGATAATGCATTCTCAAAAACTCAAAAATAGTTGGGAGATCAGCGCTAGACGCTTCATCTAACTTTTTACCAAAGAGACATTCTCAAGACACAAATTTTAGAGATCCTCCTGAACAGCTGAGAGAGATGCCTTTGTAGCAGATAGTGAAACTTGAGTAGAAGCTAGAGCTTTTTCGATATTTTCCACTTCTCTCGCCAGCAACTTTCCTTAGTTAACTGGAAAAATGGGAAGATTAAAAGCACTCAAATCATCAATAATCTTGGTAAGAGAAACGAAAGTCTTTTTGACTTTTTGCAAGTACGTATCACGTTAAAGCACCATATTACAAATATTGTCCTACAACAGTTGTCCCTCCTTATGATCCCGATCAGTTAAAAGAGTGTCCCTAAAGCCACCCCATCCAATAGTTAGAATGGAAGAATCTCACAGGGTGTAATACGTCAGGATTGACAACTCCTCATCGAAAGTTTCATCGGTCACACTAGCGAGATAAGAACAATCATCTTCCAAAGCAGATGCGCGATACTCTTTAGACTGCAAGGTCCTGGATGAAGCAAGAAGACAGAGGCTCACAATAATCCTCTAGAACCGCCAAGAATCTCGACATCAGGAGCAACCTTCAAGGAATTTCCTCCTCACAACATAGGAGAGCTCACTGAGAAGACCGGGCTTACCTCCCTGTCGCCCCGACTAAGGCACGAGTACTGACTGACACTAGAGCATTTAAAGGACCAGTAGTCGCCGACATAGTCTGAATTTCCCTATTCATTCGATGAATTATCTTCTAATACTTCATTGAATGTGTATAAGATAATTATCAAAATATTAAGAACTACATGTAAAAATAACTGACAATGGGAGACAAAGGCATCGAAAGCTCACTAAAGATAACCTTTCTGTCCTCTTTGGTTTTGACTTCCATCAACATGAAGGTTTCAATGAATCGCTTCAGGTGTTTCTTTGAGATTTCATCCTAGGGAACAATGTCTTCAACGTAACCCACTCTTCGAAGAAAGTGATTAGTCATTTCTTCAGGTAAAGCTCCTATTGAGACATGTCGCTTTCCTTGGACATATGATCTATTTTTTTTATCAAAACGTAGCATTGGTTCCAAAATTTATAGAACAAACTTGTACACCTCTTCTCCATTTTGATTTTTATGGAACATACTATCGCCTGAGTCTCTTCGTTTAGAGAGATAACAAGAAAAAAAGATCTTCGAAATACTTCACAGCATCGAAAAACACTTCAAAATAACGTGTAACTTACACCAATATTGGCCCTGTGTGTGGTTCGTTCGCTGAGCTAAATTTTAGTTTTGTATCGAACCATTACAAGGACTTGGATAGAATGATTCATAGACCAAAATATATCGAAAACCTCCAAAAATTTAAATTATTACAACAATTAATATGTTAAAATAAATGACAGTTGGTTATGGGTACAATTTCAAACTTTTTATGATACTACAAGTTGTTATGAAAAATAAATACTAAAAAATCTTTTCTGCAGAATTTTCAATTACAAATCACGCAGAAAACAACTGACCAAGATTTGCAAGGACAAGCCCGCAATTTATCTCATGAGTGCCGTCTCTCGGCGGGTAATTGTATAGTAAGATTTGATGCACAACATTCTCCATATTTGGCCATATACCAATAACGGTTTCCCACATTTATGCAGCCATTTGCTCCATTTTCTTTCTTCCTCCATAAATTAAAAGGTGACCTAACTAACAAGGCTTATTTTTTAACTTTATTTCTATGTCATCAATAGCACATATAGTGTTTAAAATTAACATAAATATATGTGATTATGTTTAATTAAGTAATTTTTTTAAATTATTATCAATTTTATGTGTCTGTATAACTCAGAACATCTGATTAAATCGAAAGAGACTCTTAGACTCTCGTCTGCGTATTTTTCGGATATACCATCCTTTTGTAACCGAATGATATAGTATAATACTAGATTTAGTAGTGATTGCTTCAATAAACAATCTTCTTTAAAGTCTGATGCAGGAGATGATGTACATAGTACTGTTACAAAATGGTGTTGCATTATTTGAGTGCTAGAAGTATCCGAGGTACATCAAATCAACTTTAAATATTTTACCGTTCACTCCCAAACAAAAACACAAACATTTCAGTGACATATTAATCAACAACATCAGACCTATTTATGAATCACAATTTTTTTTCCTCTCTCCCCTCTCTTCCTAATCACAAACAGTACTTTTAACTCATGCATTGCATAGTACCCTCCACTTGCACTCCTATAATAAATAAATCATTATAAGACAAAATAACTAACTACCTCAAATTAAGTTTATATATATCTTGTACTTGTTGTATTGTATACATACATTTTTTTTTCTCCATAAACGTTACTCCTTTAGCACTTCTATCACTATATAAAACTTACAAAAACCCTTCTCTTTCTTCATTCTCTCTCTCTCTTGTTACTTATCTGCATTCTGTCTCTGCTCTGCTGCTTCTGCATATTTCATTTCTCAGTTTTTTCTAATGGATGAGAGCTTATATGATATATTTGAAGACAGAACAGACGATGATCTTTTTGCCATTTTGGAGAGTCTAGAAAACTTCACTGATTTTCCTCTCATCAACAACAATAACCAGACTGAAACTGTTATTACTCCAAAAGAAAATGATTCAACTTCCACCTCGAGATTACTCTCTCAGAAATCAGTCTCTTCTCAACAAGACTCTGAAACTGAAGTTGAAACTGAACACAAAAACAAGAGACAGAAACTCACACCGTCTTTGCTACAGGAACAGATCATTAACAGTGATGGACAACAAAGGGTTTCTCACATTACCGTCGAACGTAACCGAAGAAAGCAAATGAATGAACACTTATCCGTTTTAAGATCACTCATGCCTTGCTTTTATGTCAAAAGGGTAAGCTTTTTTGTTTTGCTTATACTTTATATCAGAGCCGTCTCAGGTTTTTTACCCTGTGCAGTCATCTGTCTTACCTGTCTTCAAAGACGACTCTGAGTCTTATACTTTTACACTGTCTTACATGTCTTCAAAGACGACTCTGAGTCTTATACTTTTACACTATTTTTTAATCAGGGAGATCAAGCATCAATAATCGGAGGTGTAGTCGATTACATCAACGAGTTGCAACAACTACTCCAAGCCCTCGAAGCCAAGAAACAACGAAAAGTATACAACGAAGTACTCAGTCCGCGATTAGTTTCGTCTAGTCCACGACCATCGCCGCTAAGTCCGAGAAAACCACCATTGAGTCCAAGACTAAACCTACCCATTAGTCCAAGAACTCCGCAACCAAGTAGCCCTTACAAGCCAAGAATGCAACAAAGCTACAACAATATCTTACTTTCACCTCTTGACCCATCTCCTACTACTTCATCTGCTTCATCTGTGAATGATAATATCAATGAACTTGTTGCGAATTCTAAGTCTCATATTGCTGAGGTTGAGGTGAAGTTTTCAGGTCCTCATGTTCTTTTGAAAACGGTTTCTCAAAGAATTCCAGGACAAGCTTTGAAGATTATATCTGCACTTGAAAACCTTGCACTTGAAATTCTTCATGTTAACATTAATAGTGCTTCTGATGATACCATGTTGAACTCATTCACTATCAAGGTACGTTTGTTCTTTGAATAATCAGATTTTTTCTTTTCTTTTTACTCTTTAATATAGTTTTTTTAATAAAAGTCATTTTTAGTATTTAATGTCTGATATGCATATAAAAACAAATATATGTAACGGAAGAAATCTACAAATAATTGAAGAAAAAATGTTTAAAATGTCATTTAATAATTAAAAGTGTAACAGCACATAAGGTGGTGGGAAAATCTCATAAATAAGAGTATATACATCTTTGTGTGCAAATAGGGGTTTATAAGCTATGTAGACCTATTGTCTACTAAAAAATTTAAATATATTTTTGTAATTTATCAAAAGACTTATTTTTAAGTTATGTTTAAATAAATTATTTTTATTAAATATGTAAAAAGAAAATGGTTAAAAAGTGGTTGTTGTGTGAAACAGTGAAAGTACTAACTGCATCTTTCTAGTATACAGAGATTCATGCATTCAGACAATTTGTCCTCATTTGGTGAAAAGACATGTCTTTATTATTGATTATTATCTGATTAAAGAAGCTTATGATTGACTAGTAACAAATATTTTGGTGTATAGATTGGAATTGAATGCCAACTGAGTGCAGAAGAATTGGCTCAACAAATCCAGCAAACATTCTGCTAAAAATGCATATGTCTAGTGGACACTCCTTAGTCCTTACCAAACATCACTCTCTCTTTGTTATTGCTTAATGTAACGTTGTATGTACGTGTGACTGTACAAGTAACAGAGTACGTGAAAACTCATTTAATTTACAACCATCTCATCATCATTTTTTTTTCTTTTGTTTTTTAACTACAGCATAGCAAGTTAGTCATCATGAGTATAAGCTAGCTAGCTAGTACTAGTATACAGGGACTGTCTTGTAATTCGACTTCTTCAAGCTTTTGTTTTGTCTTTTTTTCTATTTCTCATATTTAAACTAAGTTGTTACATCAATTTTTGGTGTCGTGTTCCGTTTGGCCTTCTTGATGTAAGAAATAATATTCATGATAATAAATTAAATTCATGGAAGCTTGAAAACTAAGATTTTATTTAATGCGAGAGCAAGTAGGGAGTATGAAAAACAATGCTATTGTTTCTGCTTGCAGAATATGTATATGTTTCTGAAAATCCCTGTCTATTAAAAAGAATCAAGGATTTTAACTCAATTTAATATTTTGTTTTAGTTATTTAATTAAAAAATATTATATTTTGGTCCTTTAAAATTAGTTCAAGTATTATTGATCTCTTGTGTTAATTTTTCTTAAAAAAACGTTAGTTGTTGTCACCATAACATAACAACTAAGTTGGCAAAAATACATACTCAACTAAATGATTTAAAAATGCATTTTAGGGTTTTTTTTTAATCTTCTATTTTCTAAAGTGTGTTTCATCGTATTCAAGCTGCGTTTTCAGAAGTACATGTTCTTGTCTCACATATTTAAGTTATATTTTCTTTCATTCATCTATTTTTTTGGGTTTTTTGTTTGTTGCATTTTCATCTGCGTTATAATCATCTTCTTTCATTTCACTTTTCTGAATTTTCAAGTTGTGTTCCTAAGTTTTGAAGGTAGTTTTGTCACTCCAAGTTTTAAACGTAATTGCTTTTGTCGTCTTTGTCTTTTTCGCCGTTCCAAATTTCAAACGTACTTAGTAAAGAATTTCAGTGAAGAGTGAGATAGGGTTGGTACACAGTGAAGAATTTCATAGAAGAGTGAGATAGAGTTCGTACGTACACAGTTAAGAGTTAGAAATATTATTTCTAAAGTTGAAAATGTTATTGATAATTTAAATTAAAATAATTTGATTAAATAAAATTAGAAAAAGCAAACAAAAAGTCATGTCAGGTTTTAAAAAGGCATCAGAACTGCTACATAGGTGATATTTAACGTTTTTTTTCTAGAAAATTTAACGAAAGGGACTAATTAGGTTAACAAAACAGTTTTAGGAACTAGAGTGTAATGTTTTTAAATTCGGGGACTAAACCGAAATAATAAATTAAATTAAGAAAGTAAAAGATGAATTAAGCTTAAAAAGAAACACAACCGTTTAATATTTTTACATAATCATAAAGTTCATATTTAATATAATCATACATTTATCCTCAAGTGATGGATCAACTCCTGCCGAAGTTAAAAGTGTGTTTTACTTGATCGAATCGGCTCTCTGACCCAAACAATTAAAGATAACCTAAAAGTGATAGGTGATACATGTTGGTGCAAAGGTGAATAAATGATGAACAGAGGAAATATTCTATTAAGAGAATGACGGCTACACAACTCACTTAACATTACAATGATTACAACCCTATTTATAAGCTAAAACTAGGGTTACTAGAATAAGATAAAATACTAAAATACCCTCTAACAGACTTAGGGGCTAAGTAATAGTACAATTAAATATGAATTACTTCTAATTCCATCCCTTAATTCATATTCCATCAAAACTTGTAACACCAATTCCATCCCTTAGTCTGAGAAATTGATCAGTCTTGATAGCTTTCATCAGAGCATCTGCCAACTGTTTCTGAGTGTTGCAGTGTACAACTTCTAACACTCCACTCTGAACTTGATGTCTCAAAAAATGATACTTGGTCTCAATATGCTTGCTTCTCCCATGCAACACTGGGTTTTTGGCTAGATTGATTGCAGACTTGTTGCCAATCATCAGCTTCAGAGGTTTGTTTATTTTAATCTTCAGATCCTGCAACAGATTCAGAATCCACACAACTTGGCATGCAGTAACAGCACCTGCAATGTATTCAGCTTCACAGGTTGATAACGCCACAACAGGTTGCTTCTTGGAACACCAAGAAATGGGACCTCCCAGAAATTTGAACAAGTACCCAGAGGTACTTCTTCTGTCAACTCTGTCTCCACACCAATCAGAATCTGAATAACTCAGAAGTTCTGAATCATTCTTTCTTCCAGAAGGAAATAACACTCCATACTTCAGAGTTCCCTTGATATACCTCAGAATCCTGACAGCAGCTTGGTAATGGGACCACTTACGTTTACTCATGAACCTACTAACCATCCCAACAGAATAGCAAATATCAGGTCTGGTATTGCACAGATACCTCAGAGAACCAACCAACTGTTTGAAGGTTGTAGCGTCCACATCCTTTCCATCAGAGTCAGAATCCAGTTTCTGATTTGTATCAGAAGGTGTGACAGCAATCTTACAATTCTTCAATTCAAATCTCTTCAGAAGTTCTAATTCATACTTGAGCTGATGCAAAATGATACCTTTCTCAGAATATCTGAACTTCATCCCTAGAAAGTATGTCATTTTGCCTAGATCAGTCATTTCGAATTCATTCATCAGAACTTTCTTGAACTTGGCTATCTCCTGTTCAGAACTTCCAATCAGCAGTATGTCATCAACATATAAACACACCAGAGTCATATTGCTTTTAGAAGTATGTTGAACATAAACACCGTACTCCATCTCACATTTCTGAAAGCCTTGCTTCTTGAAAAATGAATCAATCTTCTGATTCCAAGCTTTGGGCGCTTGTTTCAGTCCATATAAAGCTTTGTATAATCTGTACACCATCTCTTCCTGATTCTTTTTCACAAATCCAGGAGGTTGTGACACGTAAACTTCTTCTTCTAATGGACCATTAAGAAATGCAGAGTTTACATCTAAATGCATCAGAGGCCAATTCCTGTTAGCAGCTATTGCAATCACCATTCTGATTGTTTCATGTCTTGCTACAGGTGCAAACACTTTAGAATAATCTAGCTCGGGTTTCTGTAGAAATCCTATGGCTACCAACCTTGCTTTATGTTTGCCAATTGAACCATCTGGCTTTAACTTCTGCTTGAAAATCCATCTGACGCTGATGGCTTTCTTGTCTTTTGGAAGTTCTGTCAGCTTCCAAGTCTTGTTTCTCTCTATAGCATCAAGTTCTTCTTTCATGGCCTTCAGCCAGAGCTTCTGCTTAAGAGCCTCTTCTGTACTTATGGGTTCAGAGTCTACTATCATGGCACACTGAATAACTTCTCCTTCAGAGTCTACTTCAGTGTCTTGCAGCATGTCAAATTCTGCATATCTTCTGGGGACGTTTCTTATTCTTTGTGGTCTCTGAACTTGTTCAGAGTCTTGAGCTTCAGAGTTTCTAGCTTCAGATGATTGACTTCCTCCAGAGCTTTGACCATCTTCAGAGTATGGCATATTTACAGAGTCTGAATTGCCACCAGAATCTGGATTGCCATCAGAGTCTGGATCATCAGAGTCACCTTCATCTTCTGAGTCTTCTCCAGAGTCGGAATCACTATCAGAGTCAGAGTCAACGTCAGAGTTTACTCCAACTTCAGAAATTCTTAACTCTGACCTTTCTTCAGAAGTTCTAACATCAGAATCAGATTGAGACTTATCCCAATTCCAAACTTCTGATTCCTTCACAATCACATCTCTGCTGAATTCAATTTTATTGGTTTCTGGACAATAGATCTTGTATGCACCTGTACTGTGGTACCCTATCAGAATCACCACTTTGCTTCTATCATCCAGTTTCTATCTTCTGGCTTCTGGAACATGTTTATAGCAAACAGAACCAAACACCTTCAGATGACTAACACTTTGCTTATCTCCAGTCCACTTCTGTATTAGAACTATTTCCTTCAACTTCTTCGTAGGACATCGGTTGAGTACATACGTTGCAGTGGCAACAGCTTCTCCCCAGGGCTTCTGAGGAAGCTTCTTCTCCTTTAGCATGCTTCTCACCATATCAAGCAAAGTGTGGTTTCTTCTTTCAGCAAGACCATTGTGTTGAAGGGTATAAGGAGCAGTAACCTCATGCTCAATTCCATTCTCCTCACAGAAATTCTGGAACTCTTTGGAGTTATACTCACCTCCACCGTCAGTTCTAAGAATCTTCAACTTCTGACCACTCTGATTCTCAGCCTTCATTCTGAACTTCTTGAATTCATCAAACACCTCGTGTTTAAACTTAAAAAGGGATACCCATGTCATTCTTGTGAATTCATCAACAAACAACACAAAGTATTTATTCCCTCCAATCGATGCTACTGGAAATGGACCACACACATCAGAATGTACAACTCCCAAGGCATGTTTTGCTCTTGGAGCAGCTTCTGACGCAAATGGCAATCGTGGTTGTTTTCCTTCCATGCAAACTTTGCATGACTTTTCAGGCTTCTTAATTGCAGAAATTCCATGTACCAACTTCTTTGAATTCAGATGTTTTAAGCTTCTGAAATTCAAATGACTGAATCTTCTGTGCCACAGCTCACTCTCCTTCTCAGCACTTGTTGCACTAAGACATTCTGAGTCTGCAGTTTTCACATTCACCTTGAATGTTCTATTCCTTCCCTGTTCTGACTCCATAATCAACTTCTAATTGTAGTCATACAGCTTCAGAAGATTGTCCTTCATGGTAACTGAAAAACCTTTCTCAGTTAATTGTCCCACACTCATCAGATTGCTTCTGATGCCAGATACATACCACACGTTCTGAATCAATGTTGTTTTCCCATTATTCAGAATCACTCTGACATTTCCCATACCTTTTGCGTTAAGATATTTGTCATCAGCACATCTGATCTTTGTTCTCTTTTCAGAGTCAAAGTCAACCAGCCATTTCTTGTTTCCAGTAAAATGATTTGAACAGCCAG